CATACTAATTGCATAGTTACTCAAATGTGAAACAATTATACAAAAATATATATGATATATAGTGATCCAACAAGGTAAACTGTACACCTACAGCTTCCTAACAAGCAATTTCTACACATAACACTACATTGCTACAGTACAAAAATATATCCAACTCTGCCATCATCCTTATACCCACCTCAACAACAACATTACACACCTATCCATGCTCTGCCCCCAAACAACGCATGATCATCGTAGTCCAAATCACATGAAAACATGCAAAGATAAACTAAAATATAAAAAAAAAGAGACAATGCATAATTAATACACAACATCAACAACGTTAGTTACAACTTTACATCACCATCTCATTTGCAATACCAACAACACAAGACATCATAATACACAACACATATCAACATAATAACTCAATTTACAACTACATAACATCAATTCAACATCACAATAGTCTCAACACAATTAATCATCACAACAACACAGCAACAACATCTGTCATTACACATTTCAACTAAGGAGATCTCCTACAACTGAAGTATGTAGTTTAAGTGACTTGTTCCTACCGAAACACAACGTTAGATCTATCTTAGCCAGCTCAAGTATAGGATAACGTTAGGCCTCATAAGAGAGACATGTATAGACAACATAGTTTGATTTATCATACTTTACCACTTAAACGAGGAAGTATGATACTATTTCAAGGTAGAACAGTTTGAGCATGGCCCTACCACAACATAAGCTAGCCTAACTAAGCCACTTATGAAATTAACTTACCGATTACCCTCCAAATACCACAATCCTCCGATACTAGGTTAGGGATTTTAACTCCCAACTTAATACTTTTCTCAGTTAGTTATTGAACTAAGATATGGTTCCACTATTTCTATTCAAAAACCACATAAATCCTAAAGGTAAAAAAATTTCAAAACAACTTAATTTAGCTCTAGCATCTATATATCTCAACCACATGTCCATAGTTTTACCACTTTATACAACATACAACTTTACAACTTGTAACTTTAAAAATTGCCAGCATCTATCTTACAACTATAAGACAACTTAAAATATCAAAGTGATACAACAACTTAACATCAAGGTAGCTTTACAACTTTAAGGATACATCAATGGAAGCAACATCTTAACAATCAACTGAAAACATTCAAACAACTTAACAATTGAATTACTTAAAGCACAACTTTCAACAACTAGTACAACTTGCAACATATATAGTAATCTCAACATAACAACTTCAATCACAATGTAAACAACTTTAAACATCCTCATACATCATCATCCATATCAACAATTCATTATATAATAACTTAGAATATCATATATTACCATATGCTATAAAGAAATTAATACATATCATTTTCAACATGTAAAAATCAATTAACATACAACGATAATTTTTACATAACACAAAATAATTGAAGTTTCATTGATCCAATCAAACTCATCTTTATCTCATTTGAAAGATAAAAATATTATCTATAACTCTCTTGAAGACCTCAGGCTTTATTTCCATCATTTATCATGCTAAAAATCACAAAAAATGACAATAATTTGCCTAAATACTAATAGCATGACCTTTATTTACTAAAAAGGTCATAACTGGAGTTATAAACCTCCTTTTGAGGTGATTTCAAAGCCATTCAAAAATTAAGATCCAAGGCTATAACTTTCATGAAGACCTCAAGATCAAATTAGGTCATTTACCCCCGCCTCTGCAACACTTAATTCGGAACTTCAACGTTGGATTTCTACCAACCCAGTTTTTCTTAATGCTTGTAGCACTCAACTACGCTACAGTGCTGGATCTTAGTCAAACCTTATTTTTTCCATAGCTGCAACACTCAACTGTAGCTACAATGTTGAGTGTAGAGTTTTTTACATATTCATGATTTTTCCTTTGTTTCTCACCTTCACTTCACAAATTTTCTTCTTAAAAACCATCTATAACTCATTTTCATTACTAGATTCATACATGTAACTCATAAAATTCATATAATACCACATCCAACCATCAAGGATATTAAGATCATTAATTTTTTTACCCAACTCATTCAAGAACATCCATAGCCCTAACTGAACATGCAATCTACTTAAATTCAACCAATTCAACCATAAATCACAAGTTTGACGATGATTCAACCACATGTAACTCAAAATATAACAATGATTTGAGTTTTAACTTTCCTTACCTCTTAGGAGAAACAAAACCAACCAAGAGTTAAAAAGGGAAGAAAAAGCTTTGCATAGATCTGAGCTTGGCTCCACAACATAGCTTGAGGAAGAACTCTCACAAGTACTCACCAACTATACAAAGAAAGGGAAAAAGAAGAAGATCTTAAGAATAAGGAACAAAGAATCAACTTTCCTTACTCTAACTTCATTATTTCAAGAATAAGCTCATGAAATCTTCTTCCTAGCTTGATATATTACAATTTTTTTGATATTATAATTTTTTAAAGGATAAAGTTAAAGTCTAGGAAATTAATATCAAAATTCAAACTAATGAAAAATGCATAAATAGATGTACGTACTGGTGAAAAAAATAATAAATTATTTGTTAGATAAATACATTTTTAAATTTTGATCACTAGGTCATATTTGGTGTTAGGTAGATATGAACGAAACAATTTTTTTAATTAATAAAAGTTATAATGAAAATACCAAAATTTAAAATGATTTGTATTTTTTATATATTGAATATTTTATGATGAAGTTGAATATAATGAAATAAGTTTTTATTCTACTATTGAAGAGATAAATAGAATGATAAAAGAAGGGGAAAAAAAAAAAAAGAGTTGTGTCCATCTCATCATACCTTTCAATTCAGGTGAAAAGAAAGTAGAGACGTAGGATGCAATAAAATACATTTCTTTAAATTCAGTTCATTTAATCTTTATTTTATTCAATTCAATTGATGACAACTAATGTCTATTTCATTTTACTTTGCTCTATATTCTTCTTCATCAAACCCGACATCATTATATAATTTAAAGCACATCCTAGGGTCAAGATAAGGTCTTCTTCATGAAGACAATTTTTACGTAATATATTATATTCATCTCATGGCCATTTTTTATTTAAATAATTACATATTTTATACTCAAATTCGAAATCAATAATAAAACTAAAAAAATTATATGTTAATCGATGCGTGTACTTGGTATAATTATCGTCACCACCTTCTTCATTTTGTATGATTGACGAGGGTAAATACTTGCAGTTTCGACTACATATCAATATTAATTTCAAATACAAATGACTTGTTATGTACATTTTCAAAAATTTATAATATTCAATGGGTGTTGCTGTGTCAATGAAAATGATGAGTCAACTACACGAGAATCAGGTTGGAGTGAAATGTTGAATTGACGGCTACCTATTTGTTTCTAGAAGACAAATAAAGTTTAAGATAATTTCGTTTAAACGATGGAACTATCTATCTTATTTCAAGTAAAAATCAAATTAAACAAAAAGGATCATTGATAGAATTAAAGACATTTTTATTAAGGTAATAATATGTCGAGAAACAATCATATTCAAATCAGAATAAAATTATTTATAAGCAATAAAGTTATAACGTATTGCCTATATAAACGCAATCCTTAATTATGATTTATACTATCTTTCATTTTGATTATAAATAACAAATTAATTTTTTTAAAATTATAAATTTATAAATAAAAATAATGAGTTTTAAAAGTTATTTTAGATAAAATTTATTTTCTACTTTTTATTTATCACCAATTTTATTCTTTTTACATTTATTTATAACTAATATTAAATATAATAATCAGTTAAAATGAATAATATGTTTAGAATAAAACTTAAATTTATGATAAAATTAATTAAAAATATTTATAGTAATTAATTTTTTCTTTATCTTGATATTTGGTCTTATATCATTTATAATTAGATTTGGAAGAAATACTCCCTCTCAACCTTTATAAAAAATATATATATATTTAATTTTTTTGGCTAAAAAAAATCAATTAAATTAATATCATTTAATATTCTTAATCTAAAAATAGACAATAAATAAGATTATATAGTTAAAAATATTTTAAAAAATATAGGGTACATTTATGTAAATTATAAAAATTAAATGCACTTAATTAATTTTTTTAATTTGTGTTAAATTGATTTTTTGTACTTATATATAAGTAGGGAGTACTATATTACTAGATAGAACAACATGTAAATTAGAAAGTACTTTTCCTCAATCATATATAAGAAAAACTACCTAAATTCGCAAGGAAATTAATTAAATTCATTTGATTTTACTGATTTTATATGGAAATTAAGTTTTAATTTTCAAACTATTCTTATTAATATTTTATTAAAAAAATTAAGCACATTTAATATAATAAGTATTTTTAAAATAATAATATTAAATAAAATAAATCACTTAAAATTTAATTATTTTTAAGTAAAAAAATTATATATATACATGAGGAGGGATTCGTTTACTTCAGAAGTAAGTCTATCTAAATTTATTTCGTTCAATAACTTATGTTTTACATCAAATTTTAATGATTCAACCATTGAATTTAAAATTCTTAATGCATAGATCAAATCTATAAATTAAAAAAATTTAAAAATCATTTGATACTTTATTTTATTAATTTAAATCAATATATAAAATAATTTTATGATTACTTATTAATTTAAATTAATAAAACAAAATATTAAATAATTTTTAAATTTTTAAAAAAAATTACAAATTTAACCTTACATTCAAAATTTTAAATTTAATAATTAAATCATTAAAATTTAATATAAAATAAATTATTAAACAAAATAAATTTATATAGACTTATATCTAGAATAAACTGATGCTTACTCTCTCTTTATATATATAATTTGAGAGAAAATAATAAAGAAGGAAAGGGTATAAATAATAAGAATGAAGAAAGGTTGAAGGGGAGACGTTTTCAATTTGGACACGACATGTTTAGGCGGCTATGGAAAAGAGAAAGGGCGAGCTGAGACGCGCTAATGCTATATATAAATATATAAAAAGAAAAAAAGCAGTTGCTGTTGAGAATCTTTCCTTAATTTCAAAGCAGAGAAAAGGTGAATGGAGACAGTAATGGAAGATGAAGAATACAACTACAGGGAAGTGACGCTTCCTTCTCTGATTCCGGTGGTGCCGGAGCCAGAGCTGGAGAGGGAAACAGGGGAAAGGAGACGTGGAAGGGACTTAGTAATAGCCATAGATCATGGCCCCAATAGCAAACATGCCTTCCATTGGGCTCTCATCCACCTTTCTAGACTCGCTGATACTATCCATCTCCTTCACGCCGTTTCAGGTTCCTTACTTCACTTCTTTTTCTCTCTCGTTATGGAGATGGAAATTTATCTATTTTTTATTTGCAGACTTGAAGAATCAAGTTGTTTATGACATAACCCAGGGGCTCATGGAAAACTTAGCTGTTGAGGCTTTTCAAGTAGCCATGGTTACTCTCTCTCTCTCTTTTTTTTTTATCAATTTTCTATATTATCATTTAAATCCTACTTTAGAAATCACTAGTGTTATGTTAGCTAGAATAGATATATAAGGACTTAAAAGTTAGGTTCTCATTCTAGCCGGTAATTTTTCTTACTAATAAAAGAAATGTCCATTAGTGATACTAAACAATCCCATAGGTTAAGTTCTTTTTTTGTTTGAGAGGAGAATTGTTGAGGATATAAATAAAGTTTTACATCATTAAAACAAAATGAAAAATAAAAATGTATAAAACATACACATATTTCATTGGCTAAAAATCTTTTGAGTCATGATTAAAAGCATAAACATGAAGATTTTGGTTCAAAGTGAACAATATCTTCCAATTGTAGAATTGAGTATGAAATAACTCGACAAAAAAAATAAAATATTATGACTCTCCTCTTGATCAATATATCTACTCAAACAAGTACATAACATAACCCTATCATGTTTCTCACTTGTATTTTCTATTTTGGCCATATCTCTGGTTGATATCCAACAAATGATGTGGATTCAGATTGAGAGATTTTTGCTGAATGCCTGAGTTTTGAGTAGTAACTTATTAATTGTGATCACCTTTTATCAAAGTGAATTAGTGAAAATTGTTTTAACCCTAAATGATAAGATAAAAAAATACAGGTGAAAACAGTAGCTCGGATTGTAGAAGGTGATCCAGGAAAAGTAATTTGCAAGGAAGCAGAGAGGATCAAACCTGCAGCAGTGGTTATGGGGACCAGAGGCAGAAGCTTGATTCAAAGGTTTGATTTGATCCTCCCACTATCTAAAATCTAAATCCATTGTACTGAAGCATCTTCTTGTGATTTTCTTCAGTGTGATACAGGGAAGTGTTGGTGAGTACTGCTTTCACCACTGTAAAGCAGCACCTGTTGTGATTGTTCCTGGAAAAGGTTTGCCTTCGTTGCGTTACTCATTATTTTCATTATTTTCCTATACACCTTAGTTTTGAAGGAGTTACATTTCTTTGATTCACAGATGCCGGAGATGCCTCAATCGTCTAGTGGAATTATGTTTTAAACAATGTAAAGGGATATGTTTTGTATATTGCCTTTGTTTTATCGTGTATCTAACTTGAAATACTAGTGTGAAGATTGTTTCTAATTCATTTGAACAAGAAAAAAAAAACAAAGCATCACCCTATGCTGCGGTTTGTCTTGTGATTTTACATATTCTTTTCTGGAAAGTAACAATTGATTGTCTGCATACGTTACCATTATTTAAAATCTAATTGTAACTTTTACTTCCATCACCGTGGCTTGTGTCTCATAGTTTGCTTTTAGGATTATATTTGTTATTGGATTAAATTGGTATAAAGGATATGACATGTATCTTTTTTAACAAAGCTTTTACGAGCATATTGAATGCCTTTATTCAACCGTCTGGACTGTTTGTATACATAAACGTAGAGCTTTACACAAATTTAATGTATTGGGTTAACTAGTACCTATTGTCACTACAATTAGTAATCTAGTGACTCTTCCTGTTTTCTATTTACACTTTCTCTGTTTAATTTGTTTTAAAAAAATTCAACTACCTGCATCTATACATGCCATGGGCACCATTCTCGTATGTGAAAACTGGCTAACTGTGTTTTTCAGAATAAAAAGATTGGGTACCGAGTTGGATTTGTCTCATCTTTGTCAACTAGTTTAAAGCCCAATTGGTTTGAGTTTTGGTTCATTATATATGCACTTCCTTTTTCTTTTATTTTTAATAAGTCCCCACTTTTTTTTTTAATTCTAAAATATCTATAGTTTTTTATTATTTAATTTTTTAATTTTACATTTAACTTTTAATTTATTACTTTTTTTTTTCTTTTTCACACACCTCCTTCATTCTCTCTTTTAAATTTTACATGTACTCTTTTGTCTTTCTTTATTATTATTTTTTTTATCTATTCCAGTATATAGCTTTAGTATTCTTGATTTTTATATTACTCTCTTTTCACTTCACCTCTTTCACTTTTTCACATGCAACTATACCATAGAATTGATACATGACAACATTATAGATATGTGTGGTTTTTGTCGAACTAAATACATTTTTTCCCAACATTTGTTCTCCTTTCACCCTTCTAAAAACCTTAACATTAAGTTTAATCTTATGAAAAGGACATCTTAACTATTTTAAAGTACTGTGCGGGATAGTGAAATTAGTATTTTGGAAATAACTTTCTAGAATTGTGTTTTTTACATACTTTTAAAAATACTTTTTGGAATAGTAAATTTAATATTTTGAAAAATACTTTTTAGAAATATATAAAATAGCACACTTTTGAAAAGTACTTTTCGGAATACTAAATTTACTATTTTAATTTTTTAAAATTATGTAAAATAACATACTTTTGAAAAATACTTTATGGAATAATAAAATTAATATTTCAAAAAGTACTTTTCAGAAGTATGTTATTTCATATAATTTTGAAAAATACTTTATGGAATACTAAATTTATTGTTCCAAGAAGAACTTTATGGGATTATGTAAAGAAACACACTTCTGGAAAGTACTTTCCAAAATAGTAAAATTGATATTTTAAAAAGTAATTTCCAGAAATATGTTAAAAACCTAATTTCAAAGTGTGCTTTCGATAACACTAATTTTATTATTAAAAAAATATTTTCTGAAATACTAAAATTATTTGATGTATTTTCTAGACGTGTAAATGGGAGATGTGCTCGAAGAAAAAAAATGCACATTTGACTTCGTGCTTTTGACACTATCAAGAAAGTCACATGCGCCCTATAATGTTGTCGAAAATTAATTCTATGCTCTAAGTGGTGTGAAATTTAAAAGCGGGGAGGGAGAAGATAATAATGAGAAAATTGAAAGAGGAGGGAAAAAGAGAGTAATGTAACATTGAAAGAAATAAAATTATCTACCGAAATAGGTAAGATGGAGAAAAGGTAAGGAAGTAAATATGAAAACTGAAAAGAGGAGAGAAAGAAATATGTAAAACAAAAAAAAGTGCTAAACTAAATATTAGGATATAAGATTAAAAAATTAAATATATTTTAAAATTTTAATTATTTTTTTAAAAAAAGAGATATATATATATGATGAACTCTGCAATAATGGAAACCTAGTTGCTATAAGTCCATAATCCCCCAATTGGAAAAGCATTGCATTTGTAATTTTGTCCCGCTATACGGCCTATGGGCCTGATATAAACCAACAGTTACATGGGCCTGATATAAACTGTGAAGTCCCACATCGGCTAGTAAGGTGAACGAAGCATGCCATATATATGGGTGTGGATACCTTCCTTGTGAGGAGGCCTTTTGGGGTGGCATGCGTGTCATCGCCAAGAGCAAAACCGTGCGGCCGTGGGCCAAAGCGGACAATATCCTCATGCGGGTTGCTTGGGCTGTTACATTGGTATCAGAGCCGGGGCCCGGATCGGTGTGCCAGCGAGGGCGCTGGACTCCCTTGAGGGGGGGTGGATATAGTCCCACATCGGTTAGGAAGGCGAACGAAGCATGCCATATATATGGGTGTGGATACCTTCCTTGTGAGGAGGCCTTTTGGGGTGGCATGCGTGTCATCGCCAAGAGCAAAACCGTGAGGCCGTGGGCCAAAGCGGACAATATCCTCATGCGGGTTGCTTGGGCTGTTACATAAACCCTAAACACCTTCAACATTCAACTTAGTACTTTCTTCTTCTTTTTCACACATCTTCTTTTCTCTTTTCAAATTTCACATACATATTTTACCTTCTTCCTGATCTCTACTTATTTTAGTAGGTAATTTTAATTTTTTTGATTTGTATATTACTCTCTTCTCCTCTCCCTTTTCGATTTTCATTTTATTACTTTCTCCCTTTCCTCTTTTAGTTTTCACATGTATCTGGTATGAGAACTAGTTCTCGATAACATTATAGACATGTGTGACTTCCTTGAAAACATCAAAGATGTCGAGTCAAATGTGTGTTTTTTCTTCAACCACTTTCTCCATTTACACATTTAGAAAGCACAATATTAAATTTAGTACTTCAAATAATTTTAGTGTCACAGAAAGTACTTTATGAAATAATAAAATTAATGTTCCAAAAAGTATTCTCCAGGATTATATTTTTAATATGCTTCTAAAAAATACTTTTCGGAACACAAAATTTATTGTTTTGAAAAAAAAAAATTCTAAAATTATGTAAAACAACACACTTAAGATTTTTGGAACACTAATTTTACTATTCTGAAAAGTACTTTTTGAAAATGTTTTATTTTACATAACTTTGAAAAGTTCTTTCTGAGATAATAAATTTAGTGATCTAGAAAGTATTTTCTAGAAATATATAAAAAATACAATTATAGAAAATACTTTTTGAAACACTAGTTTCACTATTTCGGAAAATACTTCATAATAGTGAACTTAGTATTCAAATTTTTCGTAACACTAAATTTAATGTTAAGGTTTCTAGATGTAGGAAAGGAGAGGAAGTATTTGAAAGAAAAATGCGCGTTTGACTCGGCACCTTCGAAACTTTTGAGAAAGTTGTATGTGCCTACAACGTCATCGTGCACTAATTCTACCGTTCAGGTGCATGTAAAAATTAAAAGAATAAAAGAGAATAATATAAAAATCAAGAGAATAATATAAAAATCAAGAGAATTAAAACTGGCTACTGATATAGGTAGGAAATGAGGGGAAGACGAGTGTATGTGAAAAACTGAAAGAGAGAAGGAATGAGATGTGTAAAAAAGAAGAAGAAGAAAGTATTGAATTGAAAGTTGATGTAAAATTAAAAAATTAAAAAATATTATGTATATATATATATATATATATATATTTTACAAACACAAAGGGGATGTACTAATTAAAAAAAAAAAAAAAAGAGGTGTATATAGAGCCTTATTAAAATTAAGAGTAGTAAAAAAAATCCAATTTAACTAAATCAATCCATAATTCATTTAAAAGTATGATTTAATGGATTAAATTTTCATCCAAATCCATTTTGTGTTTTTCTCTATAATTCAGACCCACATCCCAATAGCATATGGGCTTTAGAAATGAAAAAAAAATCTAATTTTAGGTCAATAAAATAATCATAATAATATATATATAATAATCTTTACTTTAAATTAATTAAGTTTTATAATCTATTTTTTTTAAGAATATTTATCTAAAATAATGAAGTATGTTAATTATTTTACTTGACACATTATATTATATCATTATTCATATATTACATCAATAATACATGTCCATAATTACTATATTATCTCAACAATCATTATATTATATCATACCAATAGTCATATTAGTAATTAACTAATGACATTAAACAGTCAAGAAATTAAATGACAAAATACATAAAGTTTTAAAATATGTGACAAAATTTAGTTTTCGAAAATGTGGTGACAACTTTGCGAAATCCTAAAATATAGGGGACAGAAAAAGAAAACACATGTATTTTCTGAATTAAGCCTATAAGTAGTTTAGACTTCAATAAAATTAAGCAATGTTTCAAAACGAAAACTACATCACGTGATGTGGTCAGTTGCCGCAACACCTACGTTATGTCATGATTGTATCTAGAAATGGTTGCACCTGCTCACAACCACCATCATAATTTAAAACCTTAAATTTAACGTAAAATAATATAAAAATAAAATTTTATTAGTTTTTGAAAATAAATAAATTATTGGGATTGATACCAATACATTTGAAAAGAAAGAAGAATATATATAATGAGCATGTTCTCACTGTCAACTCAATTTATTATGAGGTTTTTACATAAAATGACAAAGAACATTGTACCATTTTATCACATGCAATCCTGACGTTTCATCGATAATTAAGCATGGAAGTATATCTTAAAATAAATATTAAATTAAGAACATGCATGTTGATTATTGAGAATGAATGTTATATAGGGCAAATGGTTCCACATCCACTCCTTAAAACCTGATCCGGCATGGGAATGTGGTTATTACGATTTAGAATTTATGGAAGAAGGAGAGAGAGAAAGATGGATGATTTAGGGTTTAATAATACTTGATGCTGGCATTGCTATGAAGGGAATCTTTGTGGGTTGTTCTGTTCCTTAGCCTTTTTATTTATAAGGTTGGAAGTGGTGAACGGTGCCCCATGTGAGTGAAAGGGCAGAGAGCGAGACATATGAAGAGAAATAGTGAAGATGGGCCACTGAAAGCAAATTCCAATATCATCTCTCCCTTTCCGCAGGAACAAAGAATCAACAAAATCTTTGCTTTGAATGAGACAGCTCCACCATTGTCACCGTTATACATCCCTTGAAAGTGAACTATAGCTTAGGGCTAGTCCCTCCAAGATTAAAAAGTTTGCCCCAATTAACCCTTCATGCATTGAAAAGTTCCTTTCATGCATATTAAGACATCAATCTACGCCCAAAGGTATTGTTTTCGGTTTTTTCTTAATAGGACTCTAAATCTTTTAAAATTGTGTGGATTCTGCTTATTTTAATTTTTAACTAGCAACACTTTGCTTTCAATCTAAGAGTGTGAGAATTGTTAAAGTCACAATTCATATCTGATTATGACTTTCAAAAATGCAAAAATAATTAAAGAATTTGAATTTCAAAAAGGAAAAAGTATGAAGAGAGAGATTATGTGAATAAAATAATAAGAGGTTCAGAAAAAAAAAAAAAAAGGGTTAAAATGTGAAAAGATTTGGAGAAGAGAAAAAATAGGAAGTAAGAGATTGTAAATAAATATAGGAAATTATTGGAATTGAAATGTTGGTATAAAATAATGTAGTTATTCATTGATTTGTGAGTGTTGCTAGAATTAGATATATAAGATATTTACAAGTTTTAACTTTTATAACAATGAGTTTACATGTATTTATAGAAAATAATTCTTAACTACTCATAACCACTAATAATTACCAACAAATCTTGATTATTATTCTATTAATAATTTTTGTCTTCAATTTTCACCATTGATGATTCCTAAGATTTAGATTCTTTCCTTTGATTTTTTTTATCACCTTATCATAGTGATATTGATCGGAAAACAATATTATGAAACTTAGGCAAAATAATATACTATAATATTATTTTATAGCTAGCATTTAGTTGCAATGGTCTTTTAAGATATTTTTTGATATAATGGAAAAATGGTTATATTAATACTTGAAAAATCATTTTTTGATATGATTAAAAAATGGTTATATATATTAAACCTTGAAAAAAATCATTTTTCAATTATATATAAAAAAAAATGGTGGTATTAACATAACTAAACTTCCTACAGATTAACTAACTCAATTTGACATATTTATCATGTACTGTGACTGGGGTACTTGGTATTAATTAAGTTAAAAGGAAAGCAGAGAAACAGGAACATAACATTATTTGATAGGTTCAAATTCTAAGCAATTGAAGAACTCAAACGAAGAATGCTACGAGTGAGTGTCCTTTGTCAATACTATTGTAAACATTTGAAAAGTGGGGTGAGCATGTATATCCTTTTAACCATGGACACGTTAATAGAAATGGGGATTTTGATTGAAGTATATATTGTTTTGGTTTGGGTATTTGAGAGACAAAAGATGATTATAATAAATTGAAGAAGTGGAAATGTCTGCCCATCCCCTTCTTCTCCACCCCATATTTGGAGATATGTATTCATCATTGCTATCACTGTCCCAATCAAGAGGCCCTTATTCTGTCCCCAAAGCCTGCTTTGTTAAGGTCCACTATCAACCTCATGTCTTCCCTCTCTCTCTCTTGCATGTTTAGTGTGTTCTTTCTTTCTGTTTCACCTAACAAAATGGAATGGGTAAGACAATTGAATCATGAAATGGAACCAGGCTTCATTTACTTCCTAAGGACCAATATGTTGATTAGTTTAACACCTAATTCTGTATTAATCATTTGAATTTCCAGGGAATAAATATAGATAGATACACGGAGAGTAAAGTATAGCCAATTTATTTCCATTTAGTTTCGTTTTGAACATGATTTGCCGGCAAAGTCTAGCAACGTTGACTTAATAAGAAAATTGATTATGGTATTTTAGTATATGTAAAAGTCTCGTATCGATGTCAAGAATAATTTATAAATTGTTTTTCTTCTTAATCTATTGAAATATATTTTCAAGAATAAAATCATAATCACTCAAACTTAAACATAACATAAAGTAAATGTGCTTTTCTAATGCTTATTTTAGGAGCGTAAATGTAACCACGCACAAAATTTGTTGCTGATGGTGATGCAACCGGCTGCACTCACTACACTTGCTTTTGTATGTCTGCGGATGTACATGTGTAATTAATTAATTTGTTTATGCTTTCTTCTTTGCTAAAATTTCTTAATACACGGAGAGACAGCAATGAAAAGTCCAGACTAACACCCTTACCTAAACTGATTAGTTTTTTGGCCCCACATTAGTCTGATCGTTATCAACTTTTTTCTTCTTTCATTAGCTATATTCTAATTTGAACTTGCAAAAGAAGAAGGTAACTGAAGTCAACAGGTATTAATAAATTTTATTTATATTATGGAGCAGTTACAAACAATTTATATATGCGATATGTACTTGGAAAGAAAACAAAAAGAATCTTGATAAGTCGCCCAAGGGAATAGAAGCTCTAGTCTACATCTCCATCTTTAGATTGCCAGCTTCAACTAGGCCTGCAGAGATATCAAACAATTTCTTTAGAATTTATATTTACACTAGTATAACGACTTCCAAAGTGAGTAATTATTTTAAGTGGTCTTAAAAAATAAAGATTGTGAAATGACAAGCAGAAACATGTCCAATTTGCAATCCCCTAGGCTATGATCGATGTCTTGAAGAAAACGATTGATCCTGGTCCTGCCCTATTCATCCAAGTTGCTCAAGAACTTTTTAATTGCTAAAAGGAAAGCTACCTTCCTCTTCAATATTATCCATTTTATTTCACAAAATACAATACATAACTTAGTGTCTTATATTTTCCTGGCCATGTGATTAAAATGCCTTATCCTTCTCTCTCCGCAAGTAAAAAATAGTGGTAAAGAAAAAGCACATAAAAGAAAACTAGTTGAATAATTGAATTATATGCGATCCATTTAAAAGTTATCTTTATGTTGATTAACAAAAAAGGCCTCAGCATTTTTATGCTCTTATCAATATCAGTGGGCCTTAACGTCTCCATCATGTATTAAAATTCAATCTATTCAGCTTTCTACTTTCTGCTTTTAAGATACCAGGCTAAGGAAAAAAGTGATTCGACATGGCACAAATTTGTAGTTACCTGAGAAGAGCTGAGAAGGGAAATCGAAATTGCAATGGTTTTGGAAACCACCTTCCCATGTTGAAAAGGGTAGCATTTGCTGCAACACACGTAAATAAGATCAAATTGAGAAAAGTGACCAATATAACAAGGGATAGGTAAATAGAGGGGAAACTTACTGTGAAACAGGATGAGGGAAGATATGTTTCTTCAGGCATTGAAACAGGGGCACTTATTGTCCTTCTAAGCCCCATATCGGAAGGGTTAATCCCCGTATCTAATCCACCATAGGAAACAATTTGCTGTTGCTGTGGTGAATTAAACTGTAGATAATTAGTCATGTCTGATGACATTCCCATATTTGGAAAATTTGCAGCACAAGCAGGAAACACCTGTATGAATCAAATATGTCAGAATCAGAGAACAAAATTGACCTAAAAGAAAAAAAGTATCAATATAATATCCTAATATCCGTTACCTCTTTGTCAAATAGATCATCAACACTAAAGTCAAGCCTTGGATTCACAGCAGCTAATTTCATTGACAGAAACTGCATATAGTGATCATATATAATAAGTCACTAGGTCTTCAATCGGTCCTCAAGGACAACAATGTGAAAGACAAAAAAGAAATGGACCTAACCCTTACCTCAACTTGTCGTTGAAGAGATTGAACATAGTTGATGATTTCATCGAGCATGCCAGCTTTTCCCGTGATTTTGTTGCATCCAGGAACTAAATCTTGCAAATACTTCATTCTCTCGCTAATTTTTTCTCTTCTAACCTGCACAAAAATTGAGACCGAATCCTTAGTTTAAAATCCTAGAAGCAAAATCTAGAGAGAGAAATGAGAAATGCATTGGACCTTAAATAAAATAAAAGTAAAAAACGTGAATTATTACTCACTCTTTCAGCTAAGCTATGGCTATCGGTGGCTTGGCCACGACGTGCTCGAACATGAATGTAATCGGGCTTTTGAACCTCGGAGAGCTTTGAATTTTGTTTGGAATTTGAAGTATCCGCACAGGTTTCTTCTCTGTTGTTGTTGGTTCCTGTGATTTTGGATTCTCCATCGTGGGCGCCGACTTTGATCCTCTTGTCTTTGCTACTATCATTTTCTGCAACAAACTAAAGAAAAGCTGTGGCGGTTAGTTTATAAGTAGTAGCCAATTGTGACCAAACAATGAATACTGATACATAGCAAAATCCCACACACCTTGGGACTGTGAGGTTTGCGCTTCTTGATCCCAATTGAGGAGGCAGCGGGCTTGGGCTTGGGCTTGGGCTCCACGAGAGTAGGTGGACAGCTAAAGGTCCTTGATATTGAGGGGCTCCCAGCAGTTGGCATGTTGATTGAGCCAGCCTGAGCCACCACCTCAGCCAGGGCAGAACCCGAATCAGCAGCCACCATCATGGACTCGTGAACATGCAACGAAGAAGAATTAGAAGAGAGAACACCGCTTAACCCACAAAACAACCCTTCCTCTTCTTCCCACTTCATCCTCGCCCTCTGCCTTTCCAACCCCGACGTCTTCGCACAGTGCAACATCTTCTTACGTTAATTACTTTTCTTATGCCGCCTAACTCTAGCTTCTTCTTCAGCTTGGAGGACTCAAATGTTGTTAAGGTTCAAGTAGAAAACATATGTGTATATATATATATACATAAAGTGGGGGAAATACTATATAATAATAATATAAAAAAAAAATAGATTATTAATAAGTAATGACAAGAATAAAAAATGAATATAGGGTGAGTGTGAATTAATTGAAGAGAGACATTGGAGTGGATTAGATTATTAGAAGTTGAGATAAAGAGAGATGTGTCCACAAAACGAGCCTGTGGGCGCTCGACCCCATTGACATGATTGCCACGTGGGCGTGTCTCACCCTTGCCAAAACCACAACCAAAACGCCCTTTCTTTCCGTAATACACTTCTACTTAACACTAATCCGCTTTCTAATTATATATATAGTTGAACAGATATCAAGACAAGTCAACAGTCAAAAATTACGTCACCACATAGGATATTTGATTTACAAATTTTAGCATTATCTCAGTTATGTAATTGATGAAAAACCATGCATAAGTCTAAATGAGAAAAAAAAATGAAGAAATATTTTAATTGCATGAGTTGAGATTAATTTGTTGTGATAAGATAACGCGCCCATTGTAATTGTCAACACAATTATTGCAACATTTGTGTGGGCTCCGCGGAACTGGTCCAACCTACGTCTTTGCCCACGTGGGACTCTTCCACGTGGTAATTGGAGGAGCTTCGGATTGGACATGTCAGATGATGTCGTGTCATGTGACGTGGAGAAACGCAGAATCAGTTGCAGAATTCCCCCACAAAGACACGCGGCGCGTCTTTCACACCGTCCTAACGTAGTGGAGGTGTAATCCACGCGCGTTGATATAATAGGATGGCATAGCATGGCATAGCAGTTAGCAGGTGAAGATTCTTACGGTCTTGTTAGTCCGTTCCAAAAATAGAAACCCCCGTTGATCTCGATTCAGCCACAGGTACTGAACCTGTCCCACCCACACCTCCTATCCTGTGGGACGCCTTCAAAATCCGTTTTGTTGCGGATGTTATGAGGTTCAACTTTCAATTCGTACCTTTTATTATTAATTTAAGAGAAGATCCTTTTAAAAATTAATTGATTTTAAAATTGGATTTACTATTTATCGAAGATCCTACATAGAATTGCGTACTATTGCCATCTTAAAAAAATAATAAAATTTTAGTATAATTTAGGGTTACAAGATGGATGATAAAAATTGTTATCTACTTATATATTTTATTTTTCAGTCTTAATTCTAAATCCTTTACATACAACTCTTACTTATGATTTGATTACAGTCTCATGATGGATGATACAATAAACTTAACATTTTTTGAGATATGTTTTGATACCAAGCAATGTGTGTGGGGAAATATATAAATTGAGAGTGGGAAGGGAAGTAGTGAAGTATAAAAAAAAAGAGGATGAGGACAACCTCCATTATCACTTTAATGGCCCTCCCTACCTTTATCACCGCCTTTCTTTATACAAGTTATGTCAGCAGCTAGTTAGCATGCAAAGAAAATATTTGCATGCCTTGTAGTCGCAGCCAACTCACAAGTTGCTTCTCCGCCAAAACCAAATCACGCCCCCCAAACGCGTCCTATCGATGATTGCCACCTTCAATTTCCACTATATGCTCACCTTTTAGACTTTCACTTTATTTATACAATTAATTTATAAAAATATATAAAACCCATACATCCTTCTCATAAGTATATTTTTAAGTATAAACTATCTTTTAATCACTTTCATAGTTTTCAAATTAATAACCTCTTATTCTATCAAATTAACTATCATTTTCATATGAAGTATGTTTTTTCTTACTTGTTTAATATAAAGAGAACAACAGTTTCACATTAGGTGTTTACTTTTATCATTTGTATATTATCTTTAAGAACATTTTTAAAAGTGTATCTTAAATATCTCTCTTGGTACTTATTTTTTAGGTCTTACAATGTTACGTTATATTTAAATAATTCATAGCAAATTTATATTTATTTTTTTCTTTAATGGTGTATTTTAACAAGTAACTCACTATTTTTCTTTTATTTACATCTTAGAGAGTCTTTTAGAAGCTTTTTCTCATCTCTCATCTCTCATTTCTCAACTCTATGAAATTAATTATTTTTTATTTATAAACTACAATATCTTATATAAGACACAAAACTTATTTTTAAATTACTTTTGGTGCCATCTAGACCAACTCTAATGCAGGGTAAAAAACAAATAGATATCGTTGCTTGCTTTTGAACAATCCACAAGATACATGCACTAAAAATGCTCAAATAACTACATATAGGTCTGTTTGTTTGCATTTTCCTATAAAAGTGTTTTTTTAATTCAATAAATACTTTTTTTTTATGTGGTTGTCTAAGTTTTTTTTTATTTTTTAAGTTTTTTTTTTAAGAAGTAGCTATAATCCGATTCTTAAAGAATTATTTTTTTCTTTAAAAAAAAACTTGTTTAAAAATATTTTTTTAAATTTAAACAAACGGACCTATAATTTCTAATAAATGTACAAGTTATTGAGAAAAAATTGTTATTCTCTTTCAATGGAAGAGGCTTGAAGTGTCTTTTGTCATGACTAGTGTAAAAGAAAGTGAATGGTGCATTTTAAAGATAAATTATACGTTGTAAGAGTTATTAGAGAATTAATTATATAAATTATAATAATATATAAAATAATAAATTACAAAATCATTGAAATTGTCATCCTTAGTTTTATTTTATTTAATCAACTGGTGGCCGGCACATGTTTAGGCATTATTTGCTTTTTGACTTGTGGAATTTGAGTTTCTAACACCTTTGAGCTGGATCACGGTTTTTTCGACATTTTATTTATTTTAGAAGCACTTTTTATAAGAGGTAAAATATACAATACCACCAAATACTAAATGTGACATTATTCACGATGCAAAGACTTAGTCCTCTATTCTGAATATAAGAAGAAAAAAAATCATATTAATTTTTAAATATATGTAGATTACAATAATTGTTTTACCCTATTTAATACAATTTTTATTATTATTATTTAGTTTGTACAATTTGATGTGGTTTCTTGTTCGTACTGTTCGAGAAATTAAAATTGTCAGTAACAATATATATATATGTATTTCATAAATATATAATGCATGCAGTATCTCAATTCATAGACATGATATACATAATATTTTAAAATTAACTAATTTGCACTGATCAACCTTATTTTAACACAAAAATAAAAATTAAATTTTAAAGTACCAAATTGACCCGTAGCCTAATAGAAGTCTTACAACAGTATTCAATAGCCTTGGTTTATCGCAGAGAGAGTATGACACTATATTGAAAAATATGTACTAATATAACTGGGATGAAGGTCTTCTTATCTTATCTGATATATATGAACCAAATTAATAATTGGGGGCCGAAGATGTCTCATATGCATGTGGCAACGGAGATAATCGAGTGGCAGATCCAATGAATCTGGAATAAATAGTGTCTTTCAAGGTTTTTATAGTATATATATACTAATTACCATGCAAAAAGTTTTATCATTTTTAATAAAATGGTTATTAAAAAATTATTTTACCTTTTTTTATTTTTATTTAATAAAAAGTATTAGTTTTTTTTGTTGTCATATACAAGTATAAATTAAATTAAAATCAAATGAGATATAGGGGTGTAATGAATAAGTATAATTAATATTATATTCCCTCCATTCTCATAATGACAATAAACATATTTCTTTCTTATACAATTTTATTAAAATAACTCTGATCTCAAAATATTAATCATTTTTAGACAATTTTAAATGCTAAAATGTAGTTAATTGGAATCGGAAGAAGTAGTATTTTAAGTTGCCTATTAAACAGGATAATTTTTTTTATTTTATATAATTAAAATTTGTAATTAATATATACTTTTAAATATACAAAGTATATTATAATTAAATTTTCTAATAAATAAATATTTTTATCATATAAATTATATTTTAGATTTATGATTGATGATTTATATTATGATATAAAGTATTTTTAATTATTAATAATTTTTTTAAAAAAATATTAAAATTAATTTAAAAATAAAAGTAAAAAATTATATTAAAAGAGATAAGTTAAGAAAAATTTTAAGATTCTTTCAATATTTTTTTTTTAATAATAGTCTTTAAAAATATTTAGATTTATTAAGATAATTATTTTAATGTATAAATATAAGATTAATTTTAACTTTGGAAACAATAATTAAATAAGAACATATTTTAAAATAAACCAACACTAAAAGAAAAAAATTGTGATAGTAACAACTAACAAGTAGGAGGATGAATAAAAAGTGGTATATCTCAACTTCCCTAAATATAAGGTTTCACTCTGAGTGTTGTGGATAGAAAAATGTAATTGAAAAGAGAAATTTATTAAAAAATAATTAATCAAGTTTTTTAATATAAATTATTTATTAATAAAAATGATGAATATTTCATATCAATAATATTATTATAAATAAAAAGAGAATGTTTGTAAGAAAATTTAGAATACCCAATTAACAAATATAAATAATTAGTAGTCAGATAAAGGAAGAAGTTGGGCAATAAATTTTGCGATGTAACAATTCTGCATGTATCTCATTTTTAATAAACAAGAATAATAAGTATAACTCTATAAAGAATTGTTAAGGAAAATAAATACTAAAATTTTAATGAAAATATTTTTAAGCTATCATTTCATTGTAGATTATGTCGTTTGATAAGATTATTGATTTTTTATAACACTTTTTTTTTTTAACACTATTGTATAAACTTATCTCTTTAAAATTGTACTTGTTGGTTAAGGCAAATAATTAATTTAACCAAACGATTTACCTAACTTACTTCAACAGGATTTAAAAATAAACGATCAGATGCACAATTTTAATTTATCCTGAGAAGGAAAACCTGCTTCTTAGCCAATGAGTTTCTTAATTACCCAGTTCAAAAAAAACACTTAATTATTTGCATGTGAACGTAGAAGAAGGTAGAAGTTATTGCATGAAATGGTTGATTATTGGCCAATCTCGCACCCCAGTATAAATGGTTTAGTTTAATAGTTTGGGCTAAAACTTG